AGAGAACTGCCCCCAGGAGAGTCTGAGACGTAACAGTTTACAGGAGTGTAGAGAGCCTGGTCTTTCTCCTGAGCAGCTAGCAGTTTTAAACTGTAGACCATGCAATGAGAAACTGTGGTAGTTACATAATCTCGTGTCAACTCGAGAGTATTAAGAGTAAAGGGGTGTAGTTAGCCTGTCAATCAGGACACAGCTTGATACGCTCATTTAGAGGTGCGACTGAGATAAATAGCTCACTGGAGGCCAGCCTCCCTCTCTCTCTGCTTCACCTTCCTGATGACAAGCCACGTGGAGCTATGCTGCGACTTGGGAGACTGGCCAGAGATTGACCTGCGAGAGTCCTGGATGCTTCCACCCGACTGGATCCTCAAGACTTTGTATCCGCTGGCCTGTGATTTTGCATCATTGCATGTGCTGCGTGAGTCTGAAGAGAAATTTATGAACTGATAGCGTACTTATGGGCTAATATCAGACGTATGGACTTGATCTGGACTGGGCTGGGATGTTTTCTTAATACATGATTACTCTTTGATATAAAGCTCTTTCTTACACATCTATGAGTGTCTCTAGATTTATTTCTCTAATCAACCCAGTCTAACACAGAAGTTCTGTAACCAATCCACTACACGGTCGGGGCTCCTAGTCTTTACAGACAGAAGAGGTTAAATTAAGCCAGGAGAGGAAAATCCAGCTTCAGAATCAAGAATGTCTGCGAGGCGGGGCTAAGAACTGCAGGCCCAGTGATGCAGCCTCATCTCAGATCCCCCCAAGTCCCTCCCCCCACACCAGACAGCACTACTCTCAACACGGGAAGCAAAGTGTGTTGCAAGGGTACCTTGCCAGCACATGCCCTCCAGGAGCAGAAGCCACTGATAGCAGCCATGGAGTCACATCTGCACAAACTCTGACCCCGCTGCTGCCGAGCTGCATGGCTTCAGGGAAAGGACCTCCCTCAGGGACGATGACAGTCCCTACGCCACAGTTTCTGTCAGGGCCCAGTGCTCATGGGGGAAAGCAGACGAGTGGAAAGCCCACAGTGAGTGTGTAAAGCACCCAGAACCCTGCCCTCGTGGCCATGACAGAGTAGAATGCCCTGCTCGGGCGCCAGCGGCACAGGAAGCACAGCCACAATCAGATGGAAACAAGCAACCCGAAGAGAATCCAACAAGGGGTTCTCAGCCACGGAACCCTACAAATTTCAAAAGATCCTTTGCTTCATGGGCCTCATGATAATTGAGCAAAGAGCTAACGGAAACTTTCCATTCTGACCCTACAACCAGGCATCTCCATCCATCAACCAAACAACCTCTAAGGTCAACCAAGCCCTGGCACCGAGTGAGACGAGAGGGGACACTAGCCGGACAGGGCAGGGCCAGGCTTCCACATCTCCCTAACCATGATGAAAGGGGGCACCAAAATCCAGCTGCGTCTAGAGGATGTCAATAAGCCACAAGACTTCCGGTCATCAAGGCTGGCACACGCTGCTGTTGAAAGCAGAGAAGTAGGTCATCCAATGTCACGCCTGAACATTCAACTCCAGTTAATTGGGGGGAAGGGGGACAAAAAACTCCTAAGGCAATAAGTCTCATTCCCCAGATCAAATAAAGCCGTCCCGCCAACAAATGTAGAAAGCACTCAAAACACGGCAGCCCGCAGAGCTGAACGGCTCCCCCGCCAGCGGCTGGAGGTCATGGGAGCCAGGGCGAGGCGCTCATCCCAAATATATCAGAGCTGAAGAGGGACAGTCCCAGGGGCAGGACATGCCACCAACCGGGGGGAGAGGCAAACGCACAACGGGCCTGTACCCCTCACATGCTCGGAGGCCAGGCTCTCGTTGACCAAGAATGGGATGGGCAGTGACAGGAGGGGGCTGCCCGCCGCTGTCCACTCATGTCTGCCTGGTGCTGGCCCCTGTGTACATGAGGAGCCGGGACCTTTCAGAAGCCAGTCACCACAGCTGTCCCCTGAGGGCAGACACCCGCTTGCCAGAGTGTTTCTCCAGGCCCTCTGGGAGTTAGAGGCACCAGCCTTTCAGCTAGTAGCTGCAGTGCTTAGCCATTTGTGTGCCCAAGGACTCCTGACTGCTCACTGCAGTCTGTTTTGTCGAGACTCAGTCGCTTTCTGACGAGACCCGGCAACCCCCAAAGCCAACAAGAGGTGTGTCCCCTCCACTCGGGCTATGCGAAAGGGAGAGGATTTCCACTCAGGAGGAAGGTGAGGGCCAGCGCAAGGGCAAACCAAATTACTCAAACCGTTTCAGTCACAGGATTGCACACTTCGATGGAATACCTTTTATAACGCACAGACTCAACCTCAATCAAGCTGTTTTGTGATTTTAAAAAATGAATACAAAAGAAAAAAGAAAAACGCTCAGAACTAACTCAGTTACTCACTCACAGTTATTGAATCAATTCTGACTCAGCTCCCAAAGGCCCCACATTTTATTGCCAACAAAACTCATAGTGACCCTATAGGACCAGGCCTAACTAGGGTTCCAAGGCCGTCCTTTTTCTAAACAGGCTGCCCCTTTTCTTTCACAGAATGGGTGCTGGGGTCATGAGCGCCTCTCTGTTCACAGGGAGAGAGCTGCTCTAACCACTGCACTGGCAGCACTCTCTCAATAAAGAATGGGTAAAATATAACAAAATTTAAAATGAAGTCATTCACCCCCTTACAGAAGGGTCAGGGGAAGAGACGAGCCAGTTAGGGTACAGTGTAGCAATGATGAAACATATTACTTTCCTCTAGTTCCTAAATGCTTCCTCCCCCACCCCGCCACTCTCATGATCCCAATTCTACCTTACAAATCTGCCTAGACCAGAGGAGGTACACTGGTACAGATAGGAACTGGAAACACAGGGAATCCAGGGCAGATGATCCCTCAGGACCAGTGGTGAGAGTGGCGATACCGGGAGGGTAAAAGGAGGGTGGGGTGGAAAAGGGGAACCAATTATAGGCATCTACATATAACCTCTTCCCTGGGGGACAGACAACAGAAAAGTGAGTGAAAGGAGATGTTGGACAGTATAAGATATGACAAAATAATAATTTATAAATTATCAAGGGTTCATGAGAGAGTGAGCAGCGGGGAGGGAGGGGAAAAATGAGGAGCTGATATCAAGTACTCAAGTAGAAAGAAAACGTTTTGAGAACGATGATGGCAACAAATGTACAAATATGCTTGACACGATGGATGGATGTATTGTGATAATAATTGTACGAGCCCCCAATAAAATGATTTTTTTAAAGGGGGGGAGAAAAAATATTAAAAATAAAAATAAATAAGTTAAAAAAAATAAATAAAAACGAAGTCATTAAAAAGAGAGCCAGTATTTTCTTTGTGCTTACCACGTGTTAAGTGTTGCTCTGAGGACCATGTAAATTATTGTGGTAGTTATATAATCTGGTGTCAATTTGGGAGGACTACAAGCGAAGGGGTGGAGTCTGACCTGTCAATCAAGATATACATAACCAATGAGGCTCTGTGTGGGCATGGCCTTCTCCTGAGAATTCTGGGAACTCTGGTATTTCCTTCTTCCCCACTTCCTGCTAGTCATCCCTGAGGAAAAAACACATGGACCGACCCCAGTACTGGCAAAGCCACGTAGAGACCCCTGCCAGCTCTGAAATGCTTATAACGCCACTGGATCCAAAGACTTTCGACCCACTGGCCTGTGATCATCAGCACTCAGTGTCATTGCATGTATTTCATGAGTCTGAAGAGGAATGTGTAGATTGGTATCGGACATATTGGCTAATATCGGACTTACGGGCTTGGGCTGGACTGGGCTGGGATGTTTTCTCAATGTTCAATTGCTCTTATATATAAACCTCTTCCTTATACACATATGAGTGTGTTGATGAAGTTGTTGCTCTAACACAGTTATTATCTCATGTCATCCCTATAACGTCTTTGACTGAGGGGCTGTCTGGGCACACAGAGGGTAGGACAGATGCCCAAGGTCACAAAGATAAGAAGTGCTGAGACCGAGCCATAAAGTCCCGCAGCCATGCCAGCCGACCTGAAATCACACACAGCAATCCCTCTGTGTGGCAACGGTGAGCTGGAATAGCGTGACTCTCTTCCTCCCCAGGGCTACCATGGTGACCTCTCGCCAGTTCCGGCCACTTCCCACCACCCTCAGCTTCATGCTGAGGGTGACTGTTCTCCAGCGAGGGACTGGTCTCCCCACAGGCCCCCTGCATGGGACAGCTTCCAAGGATGGCATCCAGGATCCTTGGCACGGACTGATAAAAAAGGCTTGTGCGTCTTACTTCCCAGCTTGAAGGAGGCAGCATGCATTCCGCTTTATACTTCTCGCTGCTGTGTTTGAAGTCATGATTGAGTCAGACTCACAGCCTTGAGTAGACTTTCAAACGTACCCACTTTGGGCATACACTTCAATTCACGGGCTTTTCTCCTGGGCCCGGCTCCTCCCCTTTAGGACTGCTGTCTATCACTGGCGGCTCTCTGGATTTTTCACTCATGTCTGTGCCTGTAGGCATCTCGTGCTGATCCAGTGGGATGCGACCAAGGTCATGCACAGAATGAAGCTGTTCATGTCACTATAGGGTGAGGGGAACATGGTCGGCCATGAATGGTGAGACTTCGTCTTACCTAGTACTTTGGATATGTTGTCAGGGCAGACAAGGCCCTGGAGAAAGACGTCACGTTTGGTCAAGGGGCAGGCCCTCCAGAAGATGATGGATTGTCACCTTGACAGCAACAACGGCTTGGGCAGAGGAACCATTGTGAGGATGGTGGAGGGCAGAGCAGTGGTGCAGAAGGTCGCTGTGAGTCAGAACAGACTGGAGGGCACCTAACAACAGCAGGAACAACATGGAATGTGGGGACCAGGATGAGAGAATAGATGCCCGGAAGGGGTGAATGACTGCCCTGCAGGTGAGCATTGTCTACTTCCAAGGCTAATTCCACCACAGAGTGTTGACGCCAAGCCCACCCAGAAGAAACACGCTCTCAGAAGGACAGAGCTACTTACTCTGAGTCTCCACAAGATCCAAAGCCACGTGAGAGGCGGCATCCATTCCGGAGTTGATACAGGACTGGAAGTTTTTTAAGGAGGAGAGGGCAGATTCTACGCCGCTGAAGGAGATGAAGCCAGTGGAACCTGAGTTTGACCGCCCCGGCATCTTGGAACTTTTATCTATTTTTTTAAGGACAACAAAATAAACATTATGAGTCAGAATAATACTGCATAGGAATTAAAACTACGGTAGACATTCAAATAACTGTATCCAATATCTTCCAGCTCCAGTATTAGTATCCCCTATGGTACAGTGAATGGCTTGATATGGTGCTTCTACCCACAGTCTTTGGAACTCGGAGGGGCTAGAGTGCCACAGACTCTAATATGGGGATAGTCAGTTCTGCCAACCCTCGGGGTATAAAATGAGCCAGCTCAGAAGCACTAACAGTAAGTTTACAGGATATATCACGATGACACATTTACATTTCCTCAACAAAAATTTAAAAAACTGTTTATATTCACCTCATGCCACTTATGTTGACCTTTTATCATTTAACAAGACAAATATATAACCAAATTCATTTTCTCCTAAGCCTTCTAATCTAGAAATTCTCTGTGTGGTATATACCTTTCTCTACAGGTACACATCAATTTGACATGAAGGCAAATTGAGTATTAATCCCAGTAAATCCGTTTCATTCATGAAAGTATTACTTCAGTAATAAATATAAACAGTGAAAAAGTTCTCAGAAAGTAAACACCCAATGTAAAGATAAAAAACGCAGCAGAGACTCACACTGACAGACTCAGGCGACCTTATGATACATCGAACCCAATACTTCAAACGCCGTACAATGCTCAACATTATGAATTTTATCTACATACATAGTATCACATAGTTTCCTTTATAAGTTAATAGTGTATAATTATGCTGTTTTCAAGTAACGTTGTATTTTCAATGGCCTCACAGGCATTCGAAAGCTGGACAAGGAACGAGGAGGAGCAGAGAAGAATGGATGTTTGTGAATTATGGTGTTGGTGAAGAAACCTGAAAATACCAGGGACCACCAGAATGAACAAATCTGTGCTGGAAGAAGTGCAATTGGAAGACTCCTTAGATGATGAGACTTGGTGTTAGTCCAGGTAGACTAGAGAAACAAATCCAGGGAGACTCATATGTGTATAAGAAAGAGCTTATATCAAAGAACAATTGTATATTGAGAAAACATCCCAGCCCAGTCCAGATGAAGCCCCCAAGTCCGATATTAGCCCATATGTCAGATACCAATCCAAAAATTCCTCTTTAGACTCATGCAGCACATGAGTTATGATGAGCAATGATGCCGAATGCAAGATCACTGGCTGGTGGATAGGTCTTGTGGATCCAGTGGCGGTGGAAGCATTTCAACGCTGGCCCGGGTCTCCACATATCTCCTCCAGCTCTCTGAGTGTCTCAACATCAAGAAAGGGAAGGCAGAAAGAGTAAGTCTGAACTCCAGTGAGCTAGGTATCTCCATCATGCCTCCAAATGAGGTCATCAAGCTGCGACCTGATTGACAGGCTAGACTCCATCCCTTTGCTCAAGTTGACAGGAGATTATGTAACTGCTACAGACTTCATCTCACACTTTGGACATGTTATCATCAAGGACCAGTGCCTGAAGATGAACAAATACTTGATAAAGTGGAAGGAAGGTCAGTGAAAAGCAGGAAGATTCTCCATGGACGGATTGGCACAGTGGTTGCGGCAACGGGCTTCAACATAGGAACAACAGACTGACTGACTGACGATGGTCTTCCCATTCTGAGAGTCTGATGGTAAGAAGCACAGTGGCCTTAGAAGCTTCTGTTGAAGATTATTAGATGAAAGAGGAGAATTATTGGATGGAAGAAGCCCAGGACCCCAAATCACTGCAGGGAGGAACTCTGCTCATCAATCAGGGTCTGTGTATAAGAGAAACTTCACGTGTGTAGAGCCCTTTGGATTTGGGGGGCTTGCCTTTTGTAATACCAACTATTATAGGAATGCGTGTGCATGTGCACACACACACACACGCATGCACACACACAATCCTTCAGAGACCACAATGATATGACTCAGATATGACTCCGTTTTTTGGTCAGTCTTGATTCTGGTACAGTACAATCCTCCAAGATCTACAATGGTGTAATCTGAAAAAAAAAATTTCTGTGGTAACAAAAACATTTTGCAATCTGCACTCTACAATATGATGGCTACTGACCACATGTGAAGGAGCCCAGGTAGCATAGTGGGTTACAAATTCAGCTGCTAACCACAAGGTTGGAGGTTCAAACCCCACGGACTCTCCATGGAGGAAGGCCAAGGCTTTCTGCTCCCATAAAGGCTCAGAAACCCACAGGAGCAATTCTACCCCGTCTTCTAGGGTCACTATGAGCCGTAGGCAGTGAATTTGTTTTTTAGTTTGCTCACAGTTGGCTTCTTAGCACTTGCACTGGGGCTAGTGTGACTGAAGAACTAGGTTTTAAACTTTGTCATTTCAATGGATTTAGATGTCAAGTGACCCATGGCAAGCCATGTGGCGACAGTGTGGTTCTAGAGGCCTGGTGACCAAAAGGAACCAGGGTTAAACCTCCGGGACAATGTCACTGCATGAGGGCAAGGCCAAAAGCCCTGCTGTTGGGTTCAAGTTCATACCTGCAGTTTATCCCGAACACAACGTGTCCACACCTGGCTCTCTGGTCAGTGGGTGGCTGAAGACAAACTCAGTCACTGCCTCCTTAGACTGCCTTCCAAAACAGGGCCAAATCAGAAGAGCAGCTTCCCGGGGGATGTGCTGGGCCAGTGAAGTTCTAGGCAGAGTGATCTGCTCAGAAGGTTACAGCGGGGGCAGTCTATTGGAATTTCCCAGGGGTATTTTTGATAGATTTTCTCCAAGGACATGGGATGATGGTGGGTGGTTACTAGGAAGAAATAGGAGGCAAACGGAAAGCTGCATTGGTGAGAACGCCCACATCCAGGGTGGCTAGGGCCGTCCTGCAAGAATATCCCAGCCATCCTACAGCTCTGAACTGGCCCCGTCAGACTTCTTTTTGTTCCCCACCATCAAAGAACACTGAAACATGCTGTGTGTCCCTTCAGGAGGCTCAACTGCTGCACTGATGTGGGGTAAACAGAAGAGGGCAGAAGTCTTTGGTGAAGGGCCAGAGAGATGGAAACTCACCTTGGAAATGTACAGACCTAGAAGGGGGATATGTCGAGAAGCCGCAACTTCACATTTTGATAGTTTTGTTTCATAAAGGTTGCTGTGATTTTTTTGTAGTAATACTTTTTGACTGGCAGTTGTGTAAGTAGGGTGTGTTCGTCTGGGTAGACTACAGAAACAAATCCAGAGATATTCATATGTGTGTATAGGAAAGAGCTTTATACACAAGAGCAAATGAATATTAAGAAAACATCCTAGCCCAGTCCAGATCAAGTCTACAAGTCTGATATTAGCCCATATGTCTGATACCAATCTATAAATTCCTCTTCAGACTCACAGAGCCATACAATAATGCCGAATGCAGGAAGAGCCCGGGCAATGGGTGGAGAGTCTTATGAATCCAGTGATGACAGAAGCATCTTAGCATTGGCAGGGGTCTCCACGTGGCTCCTCCAGCTCCCAGGGCTCTAGTGCAGCTCCATGTGTCTTGTCAGAAGGAATGTCTCACAGGGAGTGAGCTTGTGTTCCACCTCCAGCAAGCTATTTATCTCCTTAGTGCCTCCAAATGAGGTATCAAACCGCGACCTGATTAATAGGTGAAAGTCCACCCCTTCGCTCTTAAGTCTCAAATTGACAACAGATTATGTAGCTACCACAGAAGGGCCTGTCTTCCTGGAACATCAATTGCATGTAAACACAAGAGAGCAGGTCTGTATTCAAATCTGTGTTAGCTGCATGGTGGAAGCAGTACAGACTAGTGGTTCAACGTGCAGCTTCAGGAGCCAGACTGCCAGGGTCCAATGCCTGGTTCCGCTTAAACACCCCGGGCATTGCAGGAAACAAATACAAGACTACAAGGTAGAGAGACAGCAGCCTCACTGGGGCAGGGAACCTGAGCAATGACACCATGCTGTTTAGTGGACTGTCTTTTTGTCTGAAATATCCCAGACTGGGTGACCGAGCAGTGAACAACCCCGACTGAACAATCGACACAGACAAAAAAACATTCCCAAGGAAAAATTGCTCTTTCTAACCAAAGGGCCAAGAAGGGGCAGCCCAGCACGCCAGAAAATGAGGTCAGTGGCACAGTGGTTAAAATGCTCATATGCTAACCCTAAGGCTGGCTGTTTGCACCCACCCATCCACTCCATGTGAAAGTGGACAATGAATAAGGAAGACTGTAGAAGAACCAATATATTTGAATTATGATGTTGGTGAAGAAGATTTAGAATATATTCTTGTGGACTGCCCAAAGAACAAACAAATCTGTCTTGGAAGAAGTACGGCCAGAGTGCTCCTTACAGGCAAGGAGGTGGAGACTCTGTCTCATATACTTTGGACATGTTGTCAGGAGAGACCAGTCCCTGGAGAAGATATCATGCTCGGTAAAGTAGAGGGGTAGCGAAAAAGAGGAGGCTCCTGAACAAGATGGACTGACACCGTGGCCACCACAATGGGGTCCAACATAGGAATCATTGTGAGGATGGTGCAGGCCTGGGCCATGTTTCGTTCTGTTCTGCATTGGGTCACTTTGGGTCAGAACTGACTCCATGGCACCCAACAACAACAATGTCTGCGCCCGTCGAAAGTCCTAGTGATCTGTTTCTGTAAAGATGAGAGCCACTAAAACCCCATGGGGTCACTAGAAATAAAAAATTAACTTGGTGGCATCTGGCAACAACAGTGGCAGAAGCCAAAAGTCTTAGGTGACACTTGATCTACTCTAGCCAAACACCACAAGCAAAACACCTACAAACCATCACCCTGCAGCCTCAGTCCCACCAGCAAAGGCTTAGAGTTCCTCCCAGATGGGACTGTAGCAAGTGGCTCCTCCCAGCACAGGTGACATGGGCAGCTCAAATGCCCATCCTGCTTGGCCCTCCTTCATCTTTCCCACTATGTTGGTGGAAACGATGTGAGGAGCCTGCATTGCACTCCATCCCTGCCCTGTGGCCTAGTGGCAGTAACCACCAGCTGCTATGGTGAAGGCCATGGGGAGAGCAGAGGGCACCCTGCCCCCCACCTAGCCAGGGCTGCATCAGGGGAATCAAGGGGGGAGCTTGCATTCCCACCCCTGCACAGCCATGACAAGACCAAGTGAGGAGTTGAACCTTCCAGCAATAACAAGCCAGTGCCTCCCTCCACCCCCACGCCCATCAGCCCAGTATCAGAAGTGGCCTGCCTACATGGAAAACCAACACAAGATCCAAGGTCTGTTAATGTCCCAAATGCTCCAGATTCCATCAAAAATGACTCATGATATTAACAGCTAGTAAAATCTCAACGTGATTGAGAAAAGACAATCCACGGGTGTCAAAACCAAGAAGACAGAGAGGCCAGGACAGCTGATGATGTTTGAGAGCAGCCATCCTGAGAAAACGTGCTGTCACATGCAATTACAAACAGGTTTAGAACAAACTAACACTTAAGAGTCTCTGCAAATAAATATAAGATGTAAAAGCAAAGCAGATGAGCAATGGTAAACTGAAAAGTTGTATAACTATAATGAGTATCTCAGCCGGATGGAGAAGACACACAAGACAACCAATGAAATTGAAGGCAGAACAAGAGAACTTACTAACTCTCAACAAAAGACACAAATAGACTAGAAAGATAAAGCAAAAATAAAGAAAAACATGAACAATGCCTCTGGGGACACATGGGACTTATAAGAAAAGATCTAACATTCAAGTCACTGAAATCCTAGAAGAGGGCAATGTTTTCTGTTCTTTTTTTTAAGAGCTGAAAACGTCTCAAATTTGGCAAAACACATAAACCTAACGTTTCAAGAAAGTTCATGAACCACAAACAGGATCAAAACCCCAAAGTCACACTCGTTACTGTCTAGCCAATGCCAACTCAGGGCGACCCCACGTGTTAAAGAGTAGAACTGCTCCTTTGGGTTTTCTTGACCCCGATTCTTATGACAGCAGGTCGCCAAGCCTTTCTCCCGTGGTATGACTGAGTGATTTCAAATCACCAACCTTTAGGTTAGTAATCAAACACTTAACCTTTTCGCCAATCCAGAAGCTCCACATAGGAGAAGCGCAAAGAGATCCCTATTGAGGTGCATCATATTCAAGCCTCTACAAACTAAAATCGATGACTCTTAACATTGGTGCGGCAGAGACAACTTTCCTCCAGTTGGCCCCAACTCAGAGCTTCCCTATTAAACATCAGAAGGGACCCTTTTTCTATGGCGCAAACCATTCAGATTCCAGATTTCTCATCAGCAACCAGAATGAGCAGCAGTTTTCAGAAGCTGAAAAATAGAACTGTCAAGCCACAATAATACACCCAGCAGAGACCATCCTCAAGAATGAAGGCATTCTCAAGCGAGGGAAAAAAAACGAGAGGCAAGGTGGGGTAAAAAGGGGGAACTGATTACAAGGATCTACATAGAACTCCCTCCCTGGGGGATGGACAACAGAAAAGTGGGTAAAGGGAGACGTTGGGCAGTGTAAGACATGACAAAATAATAATTTATAAATTATCAAGGGTTCATAAGGAAGAGAGGAGGGGGGAGGGAGGGGAAAAATGAGGAGCTGATACCAAGGGCTCAAGTAGAAAGCAAATGTTTTGAGAATGATGATGGCAACAAATGTACAAATGTGCTTGACACAATGGATGGATGTATATTGTGGTAGGTGTTGTATGAGCCCCCAATAAAATGATTTAAAAAACAACAAGGGAATGTCACCAGCTGACCTACCCTACGAGAATAGCTAAAGAAAGCATTCCTAAACGATAAGAAAATGATGAGAGGGGTCTCGAACTGTCGGTAAGGAAGAACAATGAAAGAATTACAATATGGGTAAATACAGTGGTGTTTCCTTCTCGAGCTAAGTGCCCTAAGGTCGTCGTGGCTAATAAAACGATTTTTTCTAAAAAGTCGCCGTGCGAGCTCGCCTGTCATCTTCGCCCATCTTAAAGCCATCGTACTAGAAAAAGAAAACTGACGTGCAGAGTTGTATTGACAGGACTCGTCCCGGGCTTGGAAAGACAGTTCAAACCAGATGCCTTTGGATCAAATGACCGTGACCCCTCCCCGCCAGCCCACCCCACCACATTCAGGGTTCAAGGTTGGAGAGAGAGCGTCTCAGAATAGGAGGCAAACTGAGCGCGAAAAAAGCCAGGATCCAAACCCAAGGTGACACATCTCCGAACAGCGCGGGGCGCCCCGGAGGGAGCCCGCCGCTCGGCCGCCACCTCGCCAAGGCCCGCCCAGCGCCTGCCTTACCTGGATGCCGGACCTGTCTCCGTCCGGCGGCTCCTCGACTTCCCGCCCCGGGACCCCAGCCCTTCCCTTCAGCCCCTGGCACTGGTCGCTGAAGCGGGGAGCGGGACCCGACGTCATCAGCCGTCGCCGGAGCGTGGTCACATGACGCCCCGCCCTGCTCTCCGCCCCTTTGGTCATGTGACATCCAAGGGAGCCCGGGGCGGAAGCCGTGGTCCATCGCCCTGATTAGCGGCGCCTGGGGGCCGCCGGGGACCCTTGGGTGGGAGGAAGGGTGCGTGGCGACGCGGAGCGTGACCGCTGGCGCTGCGCGAGCGCTGCCGGCGCGGCCCAGGTGACAGGTGAGTCGGGCGTGGAACGCGCCCCCTCTGCTTCCACCTTCCCCGCTTCCTTCGGCCGAGGGGCGTCTGCAGCGGCTGGTGGGGTGTGGAGGGAGGGCCCTGGGACCCAGGCCACGGGTGCCGCGGAGAGCTGCAGCCACGCCCTTCGCTTCCACTCTGATGCGAGGAAATGCCACCATCCCTTTGGCGCATCCTAAGGAGGAGACGCTCACCTGCTGGACTCTTCCAAGTTCCCGGGAGCAAGCTGTGCGCGCTCGGTGAGGGCTTTTACAGTCGCCTGGCTCCGGACTTGAATTCTCCTTCCGGACTGGGCTAGGAGTTTAGACAAGTCGTTTGCCTTCTTTCTACCGTAATTTCCTCACCAGGGACGGAGTAAGGAGCCCGGGGGGCGCTATGGGATAAGCCGCAAGGTCTGTGGTGCAATCCCACCGGCCACTCCTCGGGAGAAAGACGAGGCTGTCTGCGCCAGGATGGCCCGTGAGCCCTATGGGGCGTGGCTGTGAGTTAGAATCGTCTTGATGGCAGTGAGTTTGGGTTTGGAGTTTCGTGATTACGAAAAAGTATTTCAGGGGTAGTCTCACAGTTGAAAGAAAAAAAGTGGAAATGCAAGTAACAGAACCAGTCTCTTGATTGCAGGTGTACTGTTTTCCCTCCAAAATAAGTGGCTGGAAAAGGCGGGTGGTGACTGCCTCTCTCCACGATGGGCACGGTGTCTTGGTCCTCAGGGTTCCATCGTCTGTCGGACCAGAGTGAACGGGGCCATGTCAGAACATTTCTGAAAGGGAAATGCCGGTCACCTTTGTCTTGGTCAACAGCCACTGTGTTTTGTTCTTGATAATGGACTCCTGGAAGCAAATGTTTCCTTCTTTATGAGGTTTGGGGTAATGATAAGTCGGCCTGCCTTTGTCTTCTGAGTCAACAGTGGTTTGTCCCAGATTAACTGAATTGCCTTCAGAAACCCTGGTCTGTACTTGGGATAATTGGTGCGAGGGTGCTAAATGTCATTTTAAAAAGCATGCTGTCTTTTGCGAAGGATTACTTTCCGAACTGAAAATTGCAGCTTCATATCACGTTCTTTAAAAAAAGCAAGTCACAACCTCTTTTCTGGGTGAATTATACAGTAACTTAGGACATTGAGTGGGCTCTGCTGCTGTTTTATGCCAGTAGGAATGCAGCGATGAGTTGAATTCAATGGCAAACGAGTTTTGATTTTAGGGGATTAGTAATAACAGCTTATATTGTGAACACTGGACTGTGAATTAGTCTCTTCGTTACAGCGTCTGCCACTGTGTTCACCTCACACTGTTGTTCTTGTTAGCTGTCACGTTTGGGGCACTCGAGTCATACATAATGCACACTGCCAGCTCATAAACAATGGAACAGAACACCGCCCAGTTATATGCTATTCTCATGATTATTTGAGGATCAAATTGTGACCCGTAGGATTTTCATGGGCTGATTTTCAGAGGTAAATAGCCTGACTTTTCTACCCAGACGCTCTACTGAAACTTGTTCCGCCTCAGAGTGGCAGGTAAGCGTGCACTGACAGATGAATATGTAAGGCACATTGGCCAAGATTCAAGCCTCGGTCTATCACATGCAAGGCAAGGATTCTACCACGGAACCCCCACTGCCCCCTTTATGTCACTCTACAGTGATTTAGATGAAGCCAGCTACATTGCAACACCAGCAAAGCCACCTAACTCTGCCATGTAGGGGAGGTGTTGGACATTATTTAGTGATGGTTTTTAGGTTCCATTCTTCTGTGCCAGTTTTTCCATCAACCATAGACTATATACCAAATACTCTGGATAAATAATATTTGTGCAAATTGTGATGACTCCATTGGTTAACACAAGGGACAATTTTACTCATCTTTTATTTTCCCCTTCTCTCATTCCCTATGTCAGTCCATATAAAAAAAACCCATTGCTTTCAAGTGTAACTTAAAGTGGCCCAATTATAAGACAGAGTAGAATTGCTCTAGAGAGTTTCCAAGGCTGTAAGTCTTTACAGAAACAGACAGACCCTTCTTTCTCCCATGAAGTAGCTAGTGGATTCAAACTGCCAACCTTTGGGTTAGCAGACTGCTATAATCACTTTGCTCCCAGAGCTCCCTCACTCCATATCAGTGTAGAAAACTACACAGTAGACAACCTCAAAAGTATCTGAAATTCACCTAGCTAGAGTTCAGTGTGAATTGACAAGCAGACAGAAAAAATTAAAATGATTTAAAATATCATGCCTTTATGTACACTACGTAGTATACTCCCAGGAGAGTTCTAGACACCTTAGTGGCTACACCCACACACACACATACACACACCCTGCTCTCTGTTTCTGTCCTTTGCTTTCCTGGGGCTTCAGCCACCTTGCTGTTCCTGAAACATGTAACACATTCTTACCCCGAGAGCTTTGCATTTACTTGTAATCTCCACCTGGAGTGCCATGCTCCCAGATTATTATGAATTGCTATATAAGAAACTTCCCACAGATTTTAGTGGCTTAAGACCATTGACATTTATGATCTCACACTGTCTGTGTTTAGAAACCGGGTGTCTGACTTGCTTTGGCTGAGTCAAGTTGTGAGCAAGGGCTGTACGCTCACCTGAAGGCGCAACTGGGGTGGTTGTGGGAATCCACTTCCAAGCTCACTCATGGGGATTGTTGATAAGCCTCTGTCCCTGTCACGTGAGCCTCTCCATGGGCTTTCTCATTTTGTTTTTAAGTACAGCGAAGTCCTCTTATTTCAACACTGACTGTTTTGAGTCCGTGTAGTTAAATGTCCACATGTGGAACTGAAAGATGGCATTGACAGGACGATGGCCATGAGCAGAACGCTGTTGCTTCAGTGTCCCTAGTGAGTGGTGTCAGTGAGGTCAGTAGTTATCTTTGGTAGGCAGGCTTCCTGACTAATAATATATGGGCACAGTACGATGATTCCAGTGCCCATGAACTTGCCAGACAATTACCTGTGGAAATTAACAACTAGAGATAAGAAATGCAACAAAGACAATGACGCAATTCACCCTTTCCAAAAAGAATACTTTTTCAAAGGATTGGGGGTACGTTTGGGAGAGGGAAGTGATGTCTTGAAACTTTTTTGCAAAATTTAACCTCTGTAAGGGCATGCTGGATGCTGTGATGTGCAAAAAACCCACTGCCACCCAGTGGATGGCAACTCACAGCAACCCTGCAGAGCAGGGGAGAACTGCCCGTGAGTCTGAGATTGGAACTCCTAACTGCAGCAGAAAGCCCCGTCTTTCTCCCCTGGAGCAGCTGGTGATCTGGAACTGTTGACCTTGAGGTTAGCAGCCGAACGCATAACCACTATGCCACCAGGACTCCTCCGTGATGTCCAAGACATTGTATTATCAAATTCACAATTTGGTGAAACCCTATATTCCCCTGAGAAAAAACAGCTCAGTGGATGAATACATTTCTTACAATTCTAGTCTACATTTGATGTAACGTGGAACTTCTTTTCGTCATCAGTTTTAATTATGTCTTATGGGAAGACGTCCCCCACTGCTGTTGGGTTCTTGACCTCAGGGTGGCATCACTTCGTAGCATTGCTCAGCTAGGAGTTAGCTTTGCGAACAAGGACCCCCTTATACTTGACATAGGAGAAGAACATGTTAAAGGAAGTGCCCTTCCCCCAATTGCATTCTAGTCCTTTCCCAAAGGAAGACTAATGGCACAATTCCCTTCAGAAAAATTCAGTAGATCAAGACAGCGGAGAAGGTGGGCAGTAGAGGCGCATGCAGTCAGAAGCTACAGAAAAGCCCCATTGCCATCACTACCCAAAAAGCAATAGCCAGAGAGTGCAGCATTGTAGTCAATGTAGCATCACAAGAAGGTGACCACTTGTAGGGTCAGTACACAATCCTGAAACTCTGATCCGTAACCATACAACCCAGGGCTTAGTCCCTCAAAGCCACTACCACTGTGTTCTTTATCCAGCTTCTGAGAGTCGGAAATGTGAACATGGCATCGTGCTGAGCTGGGCTTCACTTGCATGAGCAGGGGCCTGACTCAGACAGCTGAGCACCTGAGGCCCTGCTTCGGGTTCCTTTCTTCTCCTCCATGTTGTGTCAGGACACGTGGCCCTTCCTCTTGGGAACACCCGTGATCTCTCCAGCTTAGCGCGCGAGTCTACTTCCATGGCCGCTTAGAGAGCCAGAGTGGGAGCCACCAGGGCCTTTGGGGGTGGAGGCTTGGCACAGAGTGATTACAGCATGACACAGGCCTAGTCCAGGTTCAAGGGCTGGGAACGAAGCCCTACTCCTCTAGGGCTGGAGCAGTGTGAGCACTAAGGGCTGAGGCATCGTGGGCAGCCATTCTGGAAACCAGCTACCACTGGGCTGTAAGGAGATTGCCTCCCTGACCCCTGGAACGAAGAGAAATGATCCCCAAGAGGCTGAGAGAGCAGGCGAGTGGGAGTAGTAGGGTACCAGAAGCAAGTGACCTCCTTCAAGAAGTGTTGAAGCCCCTATGGGCCTTGCGGTCCGTGACGTTGATTCACGGCAGCCCCATCTGCTGCGGAGCTGAACTGCTGCCTGGGGGTTTCAGGCTGTGACCTTTTAGAAGCAGACAGGCCTCTTCTGAAGCACCTCCGGGTGGGCTGGAACTACCAACCTCACAGCTGGAAGTGGAGCACTTAACTCTTTACGCACCACCCCACAAGACTCCTCTTCAGGCCCTGGATATTATTTCACTGTTGTGAGTCTTTCTCACCTCCTCTTGCAACCCACACCCCTCCCTTTGCCATCTGCCTCACCCCAGCGCTCTGCGCCTCCATCTGCAGGTGGAAGCTCAGGAGAGAGAAGGCTTGTGGAGTCAAGACGGCTTACTGAGTTGCCCCTGTGAGGTCAAAGAGCTCAGGGGGCACCGTAGGTTACATGCTGAGTTGCCAACTACGAGGTCAAGAGTTCAAACCTGGCAGCCTTTCCGTGGGAGAAAGATAAGACTCCCTGCTCCAGTGAAGGAGAGTCACTGTGGGTCTGAATGGACATGGCGCAGCGAGCTTAGTGTTGTGCTGTGGAAGGTGATTCGAAGGCGGGGCGGGCGGCTGTGAGATGCTGTAATACCAAGGTCATGACACAGGGCAGGGCTTTTTTGCTTGGATGTTGGTTGGTTCTTTCCCAGAAAAGTCTTTTTCTTCCTTTTTCTACTCAGTTTCTGCCTCCCCTTCTTTTCTCTCTTCCACCCCCATCAGCTCATCGCCCTCTGATGTTTTTCTCCATTCACATTAACAGGTATGAGTTATACATTTTTATCTGTTAAAAGACTACCAGCAATGCTGCTGGAAGCGTCCTTTGGCTTGTGTCGGTAGATATAGCTTGTTATTTCATGGGGCTAGATGCCCAGACATGAGATTACTAGGTCGGGAGCGGGTTTGTTTTTAAATTCAGTACACGTGGGTTCAGTTTCCCAGAAGATTCATACCGGGAGCAGGTGCTGTTGTGTGTCTTAATCATTGCCAGCCTAATGCGAGTAAAGTCCTTGTTGCCATTTGCTTTAATTTGCAGTTCCTTCCTGCTTGGTGAAGGAGCTCTGGTGGCGATGCAGGCTGGGCGTTGGTCTGCTGACCTTAGGGTTGGCAGTTCAAATCTACCAACCACTCTTCTGGAGAAAGAGGAGATTACCCACTCCAGGAAACTGACATAGGGTCACTCTGAGTGGAATCCGACTGCTGGTCAACTAAGGATATTCTCATGCATTTGTCACTTGAACTACTCTTACGCAAACCCCCCTCTTTGCATCTTTTGCCTGTTTTTCTGTTGGGTCATCGGCTCTGCTTTCAGCCTATGCTATTGCTTTGCTTGTTTTAGAAACTCAGTCTACCCTCTGCTTTGCCGATGCATCAAGGTTCTCTGGTATCACCTAACCTGGCTTTAATACTCCTGGGTTGTCTTCTCGAGCCCAGCATTCCTCAGAGATGTCCTTTTATGAAAGATCACCTATTCAAGTGGAACTGTGTCAACTGGAGGCGCTCTACTCTTAAAAGAATCCCTCTCGGAGCAGAAGCCCAAGGAAAAGCTCCATGTTGGCAATGCAGCAGCTGCGACACTTAGTGTCACTCCATCCTGACCCCGCAGTGGAGCACATCACCTCCTCCTCCAGCTTCTTCTCTGGGGCATCCTTCCCACCAGTGTAGCAACGGGCACCGGAGCGGGCAGGTGTCTCTGTGTCCTTCCTTCCCAGGAGTGTTGTTGTTTATATAACTGTCATAGGTAATCATCAGTGCCAAGGAATCAGTTCAGCACAGGGGACACGGAACTGAAGTGTCCTTTTCTTTTCCTTGGCTGCAATCGTCCTCAAGCCCAGCTTGACCTCCAAGTCACCCAGGGAACTAGTTGAAAATGGAGATTCTTAAGACTGGCTCTAACCTACTGAAGCAGAAGCCCGGAGATCCCTTGGGGACCTGGGATGCAGCCAGGCTTAAGAACGACAGCATCAGAATGTAGTTCCTTAGATATCTTTGCATCCGGACAGACAGAGAAACCCGCATCCCCGAGGGCTCAGATCTAGGAAACTGCACTTTGCCTTTAAGAAATTTCAGAAGGCCCGATTTGCCATCTAGACACTATTCAGTCAGTACAGTAAGTGCTTCTAACTTTTGTCCTGCTGTGCTCCAGAATTCAGGGAACAGATTCTATTGGCAGGGCCAGACCATGAAGTTACATTACAGGAGACCGTCGAACCACTCCGTGTTAGCCTTCATAAACCATCTCCACAGCCTTTTGCAGAACTTGGCATGTAGAAGCCTCACCCTGCAATTCCATCTCTAGGAAAGAATGGAGCAAACACCCCAAAGCCATGCACCGGGCGGCTTCTCGCAGCTTTGTCGACTGACCATAATTACTTGCCAAGCTATCAGGCAGAGGGGGAGAGCTTGCGCCATTGAGGCTCCACCAGAGCCACCACACATGCCCCGTGGATCCTCCCCCCAAGCTCAGTGATCAGCAGCATCACACCCTTTCTCAAGGGGAGCAGCTCACCCAGGACTGAAGGGGGAAAAGACATGCATGCCATGTCAGAATTCACCATCGAAAAGAAAATGTAGTGGGCTTGGGAGGTTAAAAAGAAGGATGTTGGCATTGCCTCTGCATATACACACACACTCCCTTTAAAAAGTGATTTTCTTCCTAGCTAAAAGATACAATTTTTGTTGGCATGCAGGTTGTTGAATGGCGCGGCCAGTCTGTCAGCAGACTCGGCTTCATCTCAGGGTCTGCAGGCTCCCGCTCTGAGGCCCCCGGAGCAGTCCTGCCGGCGAGGGCCTGCAGGAGTCGGCCGGCCTCACTATGCTGGACTTCCTTGCCGAGAACAACCTCTGCGGCCAGGCAATCCTGAGGATCGTCTCCTGCGGCAACGCCATCATTGCTGAACTCCTGCGGCTCTCCGAGTTCATCCCCGCTGTCTTCAGGCTGAAAGACCGAGCCGATCAGCAGAAGTATGGGGACATCATATTTGACTTCAGCTACTTTAAGGTAATCCTCCTTGGAGGCGTGTTCCAGACCATCTTCCCCGCCGAAGCCTGCTCCCCTGGGCCCTCCAAGACACTGAGCGATTAGGTACCCATATACTCCAGTATAAGCCGGCCCGAATATCAGCCAAGGCACGTTACTAAGAACGTGCTGGAGAACTCGGCTTATACGCAAGTACATGCGGTAATTGTGGAGAAGGAGCCGAAGGGGAAAGCTTTTGCATCAAATTGAATGTCAGAGACTAACTTGAAAATACAGCCATGCTGCTGAGTGGGGCTCCGGACACAGTAGACTCCACTGTGGGACACCCACCTTCCCACAGCAGCGCCCCCCTTAAATACATGTTCCTCTTGGTTGCCATTCCGATCCACTTCTTTCCGTGGTTTTTTTATTATACATGTCGGCTCCTCTCATTCAAGGGTTGTATAGAAGCCTTTTAAAGCCTAAGAACACATTTTGAAAGACTTCTAGACACAGTTACCCGCAAGTATGCTTTTCTTGATGTTTCCCCTCCATGTGTGTTTCTTCTTCCCAGGGCCCAGAATTCTGGGAAAGCAAACTGGAAGCTAAGCCAGAGCTGCAGGATTTAGATGAAGAATTCCGAGAAAACAACATAGAGATTGTGACCAGATTCTACTTAGCGTTTCAGAGTGTGCATAAGTACATCGTAGACTTAAACAGGTGTGGATGAATTTCTTCCTAGCTGCTTCTGGTCATCCCGCTGACCTAATGGGCTAGCTTGCACTGCTAACTGCAGTAGTTCAAACCCAGCAGATAGATGCTCCGCGGGAGAAAGATGAAGCTTTCTACTCCTGTAAGGGTTTACCGTCCCAGAGACCCACGGGGGCAGTTCTGCTCTGTCCTGCAGGCTCTTTATGGGTCACAGTCGGCTCGATGGCAGTGAGTTTCGTTTTCTGGCTGCTTGTCGTCAGTAGCCGAGAGGTAGCGGGCCTGACTGGGACCTGCATCTCTGAGGACCTGCACAGCTTCTGTCTGCGCCTTCTTCCTGGAGTTCTACTCATCCGATGGATTATAGAGGGTTGGGGGTCATTTCCTCCTCTCGTGGGGCGTCCAGTCATTTGGGTGTACACGAAGTTATCTGGCTTTCTGTCCTAGAGTTTGTCATGTGCTCCTCGAGTCTTA